GCATGTTTTGTCTTTGTTCGTTTAAAATGAAAATTTAGAAATTAAACTTAAGCACTTTTTAACAGGTATGAAAAAAAGAGATCTATTTCAATGATTCTGTACAGCTTGGTGCAAAGAGCACCCATCTTTATCAGACAGTTCACTGCCGCGAGTTAGCTAGTAAAACTAAACTATTCTATAGACCTTAAGTGCCCACAGTTTTTCAAGCGATATGAGGCCGTCAGCTGACATATACAGTGACGCCGGCTATATATACTAAGTGAAAACATCGCTAAAAACCTTCCCACTAGGTTAATGACCCTCGCAAAGGTGAGCTAACTTCTTGCTGACATTAACAATAACACGATACAAGGAAAGGTCACACAAAAGTAAAAGCAGCTCACTTGGATGTTTTATGTCACCAGTGTGAACAACATGACATAACGTACACAGGAACAATGACATAAGCCTGAGGAAATAAGGAGAAAAAAGCTAATCTTTTCCTTATGTCGTTATATCAATGCTGCTTATATGTCGCAGGTGTTAAACCAAGGCCAGGGCGACTCTTATGGACGCAATCTCGCCGCACGTGGTTAACATACAAAGTACGATATTCCAGTGATAAGTGATATATAGGTGTGGTGCAATCGGGTGAATAATTAATTAATCAGTATTAAACACATGCGGTGTCACACTAAAANTGTGGTGATTTGCAAGTTTTTAGTACGACTCAGTGTTACCCCGGTTTCAATCATATCAAGATTTTGAAGGATTCTCGATTTTTTTTTTTTTTAGAACTGTACTTAACATAGGCGCCGTAATCTCGTGATGTTTTTCCCACAAGTTTTACTTGTTTTTATTTACTTATTTACTTATTTACTTATTTTAAACTGTTATGATTTTGTTTTGGTTACTTTTGGAATTTTTTGTGGCCTTTGGCATAATTAAACACAAATTTAATGCAGACGGTCGAGTTAAATTATGCAAATTTACGTGAGATCCACATAATAGAGAACTATTGGAAAAACAGCTGTTCTTTTGTTGAAAGTAGAAAATAGGAAGAAGCAACAAATGAGATATTTAATAAAAACCATCAACCAGGACGAAAAATATCAATCCTATTTTCAAAACTAAAATAATAGCTTATAATATCTGTTTTTTTTTTTTCGGTTGAAAGGGATAGAAAACATAAAGAACAGCACATTGCCAGAATATCGGAAGCAATTTGTTCAAGACAGCGTTGGGGAGATGGTGTGGAGAAATACAATTATAAACTTTCTGTACAAAAAGGAAGCCTGTTGACTCAACAAATCTCATAAAATTAAGGCGCTATGTTGATCTTATTTGTTTGTTTACCGCTTACCGTAGCAGGAAACACAAAAACCGTGTACATCGTTTCTGCCATAACGACGAGTAAATTGCATTTTTAGTCATAAAAGTCAAGGAAAAACATATTAAAGTTTGTATTTTTCAAACTAGTACTAACTTAAATTTAAAAAATACTGCCATAATGTGCTGCTAATGAATATTAATTACAGTGTTAATGCATATTGACTGCAGCAAAAGTCATTAATGGTTGTTTCTAAGGGTGCAAGCTCGGTCTCGCTAGACTTTTTCAAGCCGTAAAATATGGAAAATTATAACATCAGAATAATGAGAGTAATATTTTGAATTAGATTCAGATATTTTAGCTGGAATATTTTCTGGCCTTTCGACAAGGGCTTGTCAAAAGAAAAAGGCCGATTCGCTCTATTGCTTTAATTTAGAAACTGATCTGTCGTGATGGAAGTGAATTCTATCGTATTCTAAGGTGTCTACTTTTAATCTAGAACCAAACATCGACTTCTTTATACCAATATGAAAATATGTGTATAGTTTCCAATAGTTTTCGAGGGCTTACTACAACACGAAGGACTAAAAACCAAACGAAGCAAGGTCTTACAACTCTTGAAAAAAACAGCCACAAGTATGATGTATGTATGACGTTTTGTTTGTTGTGAAATAATTCGGTTAAGTCAACGTTTAGGTGAGATTCTGCTTGTTAATGTATTAAGAAACGTAAAAAATATTCTTACCTTTTTACTCGTTCGGAAATCCCCTTTTAAGCCTTCTATCAGTGTAGTGATTTACAAGCGTTCGTCTTGTTTCTCTCCGTCGACGACTCTTAAACACTTGAAAATCCTTTTTCAATTGATGTCTGGATTATATCTGAAGCTCTGTCCCGAGTGAAGGGTAGGCAAAATTGCCACAATGCTCATTTACAACCATTCACTCGACTCTCTACTAACAGATCTGTCATTATCTCGACGCGCGGGGAAATCATATTCGAAAAAAATAATTTGCCGTTTATCAATTTTTTTTTTTCGCTAAGAGGCTTTCGTGAAGATCCTGCGGTCAAATATTGCCTTTCATATCAAACAATTGATACATAAAACGGAATAAAACAATGGAGATATCAAACGAGCTCTAGAAGTTTCCCTTGAAGAGCCGCCAGGGAAAATATGCCAAAAAACTGCGTCACTGAGGTAAATAACCAATGATACGGCATTTCATTGGTTCTTAGACAGTCATGATACTGACATTATTGCAATGTATTTGTCAGAGATTGCAGATAATTTGAACTGGAATTTGATAGCCAGATTAAGCAATTTACACAGAAAAAGGGAGGCTTTATGTCAGGTGGATATCAGAGAAGTAAGGAAATAATAAGAATAAAAAAACTTGGAATATCGTCTTTCTGAGATCGTTGTCTTTGTGTGCATAAAATCTAAGTTATCCATAGACCACCTTGAAGTGATTTCCATTCTGAATATAAAACACTCCACTGCGATGAGAAAAGCTTTGAATTTTTACTCAATGTTTCTCCGCCGAAACGTTTGAAGGGTTTTAAACTCACCTTAAACAGCTTTACCATAAATGCAATCGACAAAAGAACTATGGTTTTTATCTTTGATCTCGTTTTAATGTTCTTTGCTGAAACATTGTCCAACATGCTCTAGTAAAGGTGACGTTTTCTCATTATCAAAACAGAACTGATCCAGTAATTACAACCTTTTGGCAAACATGACAATAATAACAGAACTGCATTTATTCAAAAAGAAATGTTTTTACATGATTTTAACACCACTCACATTGTACATGAAAAATTTAATGTTTTGCCGGTGACTTTGCGTTACAAATTGCCTCGCTTTATTGTTGTATCTGGGTCATCTGTGAAAAAGGCAGTTTATCCTCGCAATTTTACTCGACACAAGGCTTCTACTAAGATTAAATCCGGCTTTTATTTTTGTGAAAATTTTTACCTTATTGTTCCCTTTGCCCTGCCGTCAAAAAGTAGTTTGTATCTAATCGCGAAACATGTTTGTAATAAGGTATTTTAAAGTTGCTTCGTTCTTTATGATGATGTTTCCTCTTTTTAGCCTTTCTTGTGTCTTGTGACTTTTGATTATTCAGTCTTCAAGTTTCGGCATGTTTTGTCTTTGTTCGTTTAAAATGAAAATTTAGAAATTAAACTTAAGCACTTTTTAACAGGTATGAAAAAAAGAGATCTATTTCAATGATTCTGTACAGCTTGGTGCAAAGAGCACCCATCTTTATCAGACAGTTCACTGCCGCGAGTTAGCTAGTAAAACTAAACTATTCTATAGACCTTAAGTGCCCACAGTTTTTCAAGCGATATGAGGCCGTCAGCTGACATATACAGTGACGCCGGCTATATATACTAAGTGAAAACATCGCTAAAAACCTTCCCACTAGGTTAATGACCCTCGCAAAGGTGAGCTAACTTCTTGCTGACATTAACAATAACACGATACAAGGAAAGGTCACACAAAAGTAAAAGCAGCTCACTTGGATGTTTTATGTCACCAGTGTGAACAACATGACATAACGTACACAGGAACAATGACATAAGCCTGAGGAAATAAGGAGAAAAAAGCTAATCTTTTCCTTATGTCGTTATATCAATGCTGCTTATATGTCGCAGGTGTTAAACCAAGGCCAGGGCGACTCTTATGGACGCAATCTCGCCGCACGTGGTTAACATACAAAGTACGATATTCCAGTGATAAGTGATATATAGGTGTGGTGCAATCGGGTGAATAATTAATTAATCAGTATTAAACACATGCGGTGTCACACTAAAAGTTTTTCGGCATCACCTCAGAAAATCTTGTTGAAAATAACTTTCTCCAGCTGAGATCTAACTGATATTAATACACAGCATGCTATTTTAGTTTTTTTCTCTTACCTACAAAAGGAGCTTTTCGAAAACGCTTTTCAAACCGCAGGAATTTGAAAACACCGACGTTGCGTTTTCGTGTGGACGGAAAATTTTTTCGTTAACGAAGTTTTGCGAAAATGATAACGTTACGATAATTATGATACACCCCCGCACGTGGTTTCCTCACGCAACCACAAATACAAAATTCAAATTCCTCTGGCGTGGTATGGTGGGAAAACATTGATGCATTTTCAGAGTGAAACCACCGTTTTGAATGCTATCGGTTTCTCTCGTCGTTTGTTGAGTAGGTGGTATGGAAACACAATAAAAACGGCAATGTCAGATATTTGGTCTACATATAATAAAAAGAACATTACATGTTGGCTCAAAGATAAAGTGACGAAAACAATATCTCAATATCGTTCTTGCCACTTGAACGTAAAATTCATTTATTATATAGACACGAGTGTTTTACTGGAAAATAAACCATTCGTAAAATTCCTACGAAACTACATCCGGAAACTTAGAGGCGTAGTATATTTTCCATATCATTACTAGGTGGTTCGAATTAGTAAAGATATCGATGACGTCATTTCCCGCAGTACTGCAATCCTGGCCAAAAGTCCTTAGGACAGTTGACAAAATGACAACTGGTGACGCATTATATGGGAAGTGATTATTTAATTTGCCGAACCCCCCTCCCCTCCTCCCCCCCCCCCCCCCCCCCNAAAAAAAAACATTTTGCTGGAATAGTGAGTCTACTTTGGATGAATCGACATTAAAATTGTGTTGGGGGGTGGGGAGGGGGAGGTGGACAGAAAGACCACATGTAAACAAAAGTGCAAAGTGTCCCAAGACTTTTGACCAGGATTGTCCGAATGAGACTTTTCAAAAACACACTATATTATTTAGCGAGATCTCTATGCTATCGAGCCTGTACTGCTATAGACTAGACTATAGACATTAACTGAGCTTACTTTCATTCCTTTCCAAACCAAACACAGCGTAGCCTGCGCAGCTTGTCGGTTTAAGCAATTTTTGCAGTTTGAGCAGTTTGAGCGCGAGCGCACAAAGCGGCGAAGCCGCGAGGAACCGCCTGCCTGGATTACCCGCATCTTTTATTGCCGGCCCTATTACATACTTTGACAACCCGATGACAGGTTTTGTGGATTGTATTAACGCAGCTAATCAGAGCATAGATCGCAATAAGAAACCGCTTCCAGCCAACTTGGCTGGGGAAAGTCACTGTGATACTGTGGAGTCTATCAAAACAAAACTATCCTATGCGGTGTTTGCTCGATGGCGGCGAGGGGCAATACGCCGAAAAAGTCTGTCAAGGGAGGAATCGAGAGAAGTTAAAACGATAATTGCCAGGTAGACTTTGTTGTTGTCCGCTCAAGATCAAATTCGGAGAATTTAAACATTTCCATGCAAAACCTTTTCAAGGTCTCTAAGCATGAAGGATTTCAAAATGGCACTTTGTCAGAAATCTGAAATTGATCTAGAAATAGAAAGATCAGACATATCACCTGATCGTGTGTACCATGTCTGTGCACGTAAAATAAGAAACGCTTTTGGACTTCATGATTTCATCTACTGGAGCCTGCAGAAAGAGAAGCAAGCGGCGATTGAAGTTTCTGATGATTCAAGCAAATGCAAACGTCTATTGCCAACGACCGTTTCGTTGCCAGATCGAAGTCGTCAAACAAGAAAAGGACATAAAACATCAGACGACAATTCCATAGTTGTGAAGTTTAGAGATAATATTTCTGAAATTTAGTCGTCGATGATGCTTTTAACAGCGAAATAACAACGATACATGTACTGGTTCTCGTAGAGGACAATACTAGTCTGGCGAGCGCAAACAGTGAAACACGGTAAAAAATCATGCTTTTGCCAAAGTCTGTTGGGAAAACGACAATCACTTCTCTTCCATCAGGCAAATTGTTTACGGCTGTTTCTTGCGTTTGGCAGTTAACAATTTCGCGATATTCGCGAAGAATATTCAGGCGCGATAGCGCTTTCGACAACGCTTTAGGAATTATTTTCTGTTTTATACGCGCCAAAGATCTGCGTTGTAATCATTGTTGTTCCTTGGAGCTGTCCTCTGGGAGATTACTTAAAATTTTGACTGATGTGTTAGCCTTTTGATTCAAAGGCAATGGCCCGCACGCCAGCGTACTGGACGAACAAAAAAAGCCGGTAATCCGTGCAGGCGGTTTCTCAGTTGTCTTTCTCTTAGGCTCCGCTCGTTAATGCGGGGTTGGCGCTCATTATCGCGGCTTCGCCGCTTTCTTAGCGCGCTCAAATTGCTCAAAAACCGCCAAGCTACGCAGGTCAAACACACTGTTGATGTTAATTCTTCCACAGAAGCTGCTGTAAATTATATTTTCTCGAGTTTGATTTTTATGCGCAACTCTTTTTCCTTTTTTCAGGGTATACCAATATTTTATTCATTCGAAAAAGTAAGAAGATCAAGGACAAAGTTTGAAGCCCATTGTCCAGTTCCCCCGTTCTGCCATAGGACACGATTACCATACTAAACAACCTCTTTATCTTGCTCACAAAATACCGCCGACTCAATTGCTCCTGGTATCACGATAACGCCGAGATAACGCCATTTTGAACTCAAGGAGAAAAGGCGAAAGAGCATTCCCTGAGATTCCCTGAGTAGACCGAGTGATGATGGCTTACTTTCAAGAAAATTGGCTGCAAGCAGAAGACCACATCAAACAAAGAGGCATTTTCATGTTCAACAACGTTCTGCTAAGCGATGTAAGCCTTGTTGTTGGTGCTTCGAGGGACAAAAGTGCTCCGAAGAAAAGCAAGATGGCGATTCCTGCCCACAAGATGGTGTTGTCGATTTGTAGCCCCGTGTTTTTCGCCATGTTCTGCGGGGATTTGGCGGAGAGATCGGAATCTGTTTACCTACCTGACTGTGAGTACGAGGGAGTGTTAGAAATGCTACGATACATATACGGCGGGGAGCCGGAACTAAACGAAAGCAATGTGATGGAAGTGCTGTACGTAGCAAAGAAATACCTGGTTAATTCTCTCGCTGTTAAGTGCATTGAGTTTCTACGACGTAACTTGGACACTGCAAACGTGTTTTGTGTTCTGTCACACGCTCAGCAATATGGCGAGAAAATTCTTGTGGATCAATGCTGGGAAATGATCGATCTAGAAACTGAGGAAGCAGTGAAATCTGATGGATTCTTCACAATTGAAAGATCTTTACTTGAAGCACTAGTCGTGAGAGATTCCTTGACAGTCAACGAGGTAGATTTGTTCCAAGCCGTTGATCTCTGGGCTACAAATGAATGTGACAGGCAAGGGCTGACTACAGATGCCAATGTAAAAAGAAGCATTCTTGGAGAAAAGATAGTGAGAGAAATTCGTTTTCCATTGATGAAAGAGAAAGAGTTTGCAAGTGTTGTGCTAGACGGTGAAATACTCAACCCCCAAGAGGTTGTTTCCATGGTGAAGCATTTTAATTCAGTATTGTCCTCACCAGTTGGTTTCCGAGGAGACAGAAGAGTTGGCCCTTATCAGTCATGTTTCAGATTTAGTGGCATTCAGCCAGATCTGCATAAATTCAGTGGTGAACAAAGCATCAATTTCCATATAAACAAAGACATAGTGATCCGTGGGATTCGTCTGTTTGGCAGTGGAAATAATGAATATGATGTGACATTGACCGTGTTAAAACACCTTGGGGGTGTCATTGCCGATAAATCTGGAAAATTCTCATCAGTTCTTGTAAGGAGGAAAGATCATTTCTATAGTGGTGTTGATATCATGTTTGATCCAGTTAATTTGAGGAAAGGTGTTCATTATGTGGTTAGGGCGAATATAAATGGCCCTGAGTCACATGCTGGGATCGATGGTGTCCAGGAAGTTACATCGCATGGTGTGACATTTTTCTTTAGAGGCACTGGTAGTTTACTTTCTACCACCACTCTTCAGTGGGGACAAATTGCTGAGTTTTTCTTTACGCTACAATGACTTTACAAAGGAGTGCTGTTTCTGGGATAACCTGTCATTTTGCCCGATAGCCAGTTCTCCGGATGTCAGTTTGCTCGAGCTGAGAGTCACTTTGCCTGGAGTGAACCAAGAGCTCAAAGAAGGAGGTGTCAACTTTTCTTGCGATAATTCTGTAAACAAAAGGAACGAAAAAGACAACATTGTGGGCATAATGAAACAAAACTACACACATGCCTATTAGTATTTCTCCTTCTTCAATCCACTGACCACAAAGCTACATGTCACAGTCTGGGTGAACCGACTAACTGTCTGGGCAAACTGGATTCAGGCAAAGCAATGGTAGTTAATTCGTGCTGGGATCTGTGATTAGATGCAATATAATTTAGACCAGTTTGGCTCTTTTATATGGTTGCAGTTTTTGACACATATGGTTTTAAGACATGAGAAAACTGTCAGGATTAGACCAACTGTCAGGATTAGAGCAACATGTAACAGTTCTTCTGTAGTTTTAATGCAAGACTCGTGGTTTTACGTAATGTCTGACAGTCTCGTGGTTTGACCTAGAATCTGAGCAGCCTCAGTTTTTGCATTCTTTTTTTAAAGATTTTAGAGCAAAAGAGGGATTGCTCAAATTTATAGTGGTGAAAAGAGATCATAACGAAAGTTTTTAATTGAAGAGTTTAGAAGATAACCACTGCATAGTGTTTTTAAAAAGGCAGCATTTTTTGCCAGGCGTACACTGTACTCTTACTAGATGATTGTAATAGATGAACTACTGACAAATAGTTGCAACTTGTGTTGCAAACTCTATGTAAGTTCATTTTACTCAATGTTTTTCAATGTTTTCCAAGACGATTCAGATAGAAGCTTAACATTTTATTTTTTTTGCGGATGAGATATTTCGTTTAGAGCATGTTTTGTTTACGGTACACTCAACACATAATTTTGATTAAATTAATTCCATAATAGGGAATAGTTGATTCTGAAGATCCTGGAGGTGTGATCTCTTTCATAGCTTTTAATTCTTTTTTATTACTAAATGAATAATTTATTCATCAGAAGAACAAATAAAGAAAAAAAATTTATGTGTGTTGCTCCCAGGAATGAATGCATGCACAAAATATTGGATGCAAGCATGAATGTCAAATATTGACTGTAGAACACAGCTCTGATTGCCTCTGAAATATAGCTCTTCGGGTTGCAACTGAACTTGCAATCCGTGGGATGAGTCTGTAATTTTTGTTTCGTTTCCTCCGAAACGAAACGGTCCTGTTTTCAGTTCAGGGGTAAACTATTTGCATAGTGGAGGTAATATCCAATCAGAGTAAAGTTCGTAATTGTTAATGTAAATTCGACGGCAAAATCGCCGCCAAAATTCGGTGCATCGCAACAAAATGTGGCATTTGCAACATTTCAATTGTTGCCTTGTACGAAAATGGGAAATTACGATTGAAACTCTCGTCTCTTGTTATATTACACAAGAAAACTACGAACTGGACTTCTAATCGGATAGTGTTAGTGAAAAGTAAATATCTGGCTTTCGAGGTAGGGACACTGCCATATCATTCGATTTGTCCACCAATGCGATATTTGAAACCGATGGAAGCAGTTAGTTTTGTTTAGTTCAACAAAGAAATGGTACTGTTTTCCGTTTTAGAGTGATTTATTGACATAGTGAGTATGAATGTTATCAGGGTAGCGCTTGTAATTCACAAGGTAAACATGTTCAACAAAAATAACTTGTTGAAACTAATTTTATTTCGTGTCACGGAAACAAAAGGAACTTAAAATGTCATGCAGGTAGAAACAGTTGGCGACTTAAATGGTTCTAAGTCAGACTGAAACGCTGTATTCTAGAGAAACGAAGATATCTGTTTCCGAGCTTGATTCAGATCATAACTACGGCGACATAACTTTGGTCAATCAGAACACTTGTCAGGAATAACAATCCCGCCCCTTTTCTGTGGCTGCATTCGGGAAAAGAACACGCACTTGGAGCGCTTGGACGATACTACAGATACCATATTGTGGAAGGTAACTAATTCGTTATTTATATATTTTTTA